CCCCAAAACCCCAAAACCCCAAAACCCCAAAAACTTTATAATCTTAAGAAAAGTGGATGAATAAGTTTTGATATAAGTTAATGATTCATTATATTTTGGAGTATAGAATCTAAAGTGACATTCATTTACACAGAAATCTATCACTACGGGCAAAGATGTTAATGCACTTTCAATCTTTTAGAAAATTATCTTAAAATCATTAACGATGAGTGCTTGGTGCATAAGTAGCTCTAGTTTCTCTCTCATCAAGGGAAGATCTTTCATAGTTTGCAGCAGAGTGTCTCTCGTCATCTTCATAATAATCGAATTCCTTGCTATCATTCTATTACTTTTCTTCTTCACTTATCAGGCTACTCTCATTAAATACTCCTCCAATTCTCTCTATTTAAGCTGATGGTGCTATTCTACGATCTGCAATATCCTGCTCTCGATCATTGATAGCTTAATAATCTTGTGGTCTGCTATTTTGTGCATTGAGCAATTAGTTTTACTCTTATTATTCTTACTGCTGCTAATACTAAGCCATTCTCTATTATTCTTCTCTCATTAATCTGCGTTTGTAACCCAGGTATTTAACAAAGATTCTGTAAAACACTGAAGTTTCATCTCTCAAAGAGACATTAGCCATTTCAACTGCTTAGTGCATTGAGAAGAAGAGAGATATCATAGAGGAGAACACAGTACAGCCCATTAGTATAAAGATGTCCATAAAGTTTATAGTTCCAGTGATTCGCTGAGGCTCACATTCAAATAACAAACCTTTGATGAATATGATGCCATAAATGCTGCAAATAAGCAATACAGGTCCAAAGACGACGTAGGTGTAGGTGAATAATTTAATGGCGAAGGACTCCACTTGGTCGTCTCGCATAAATGCCAAGGCAAGAGTCAGTAGGAAACATAATCCAGCTGCATTTATTGCATAGCATGTGAAGATTATACGCATTAATACCTGAGGCTAGTAGCAATCATGAAATACTAATGGGTCAGATCTTTTTTGAATCTCATTCCACTAGAGCACAGTTTAGTAAAGTACCACTGAATCAACTATCATTATGAAAAAGCATGTGAAGCAAATCAACTTCAAAGAGTGATTTTAAGTGCACATTTATTTTTTGTTTATTATTTTAACTTATTGAATTATTTAATTTTTCTTGTCTTAACAATAATCACAAAGTCATTGAGTTACTGAAAAGCAACTTTGACAAGATTTTTACAATAAATTAGGGATTTAATAAAAATAAGAAAATATTAGAATTAAGTTCAAACTAACGAAATGGAATGGCACAAAAATTTCAATAATCAATAGAATTTTAGTAGGGGACATCACATTTAAACGATGAAACTTTTCTCAAAATATGAAAAAGAAGATGGCCTCCGCTGTGACCCCCTCACCATACTTTTCCTTACACCCAGTCGGTGCGCCTTATGATCAGTGGCTAAGAACCAAAGAACAGAAAGCTACAACAGGTAACCGGAAGAAGCATAGATAGTTTGAATGAGCCCGCGGAGTTTAATGACCATCGAAAATTTATCTTCTACCTCCTTAAATACATTCTCTCTGAAATTCTTAATTTATTTATGGGTCAATTTCTAAAATTCTACTTTCAAACTTTCTTATGGGGTTTTGGGGTTTTGGGGTTTTGGGA